ATTGATTCAAAATTTCATGCAAAGGAAGTTAAAATAGAGAGATGATGTAAATAGAACCTACTTGTTCACCGTGTATATCCCAACATGCGGGGTGTATACTATGTTGTGTGCGGGGTGTATGCTTCCGAAGCGAGAGAAAGGGGTCAATGTAGGTTCTTTGTCCATTTTCTCAACTTATAGATATTTTTCGCCAGAAAGCATATGCCTACGGAAGAAAGCATTATCTAAGGAGTATATGGATACCTATGAATCCACTGGAAACCTTCTAGTTTTATCAAACACCTCAACACAATTCCGAGGATCGGAGAAAGATTGACGCTACACTGTTTTTAGCTCTACTGGTCAGAGACCAGAAGAGCTTATGCGATAGTAATGCGTCCGGCGTCCATCCGTCTGTCTGTCTGTCTGTAAACAATTTTTCAAAATGCTACTCCTCCTACAGTTTTGTTCTGATTTCAATATAACTTGGCACACAAGTAGACTACACTAAGATACATAATTCTGTATATCGGTTTTTGATTTCGATAAATGGTGTTGCCATGGTTACTAACTTGGCACACAAGTAGACGACACCAAGATACATAATTCTGTATATCGGTTTTTGATTTCCTTGAACGGTGTTGTCGTGGTTACTAAAAATAGAAATTTCTGTGAAATTCTTTCAAAATGCTACTCCTACTACAGTTTTGGTCTGATTTCAATATAACTTGGCACACAAGTAGACTACACCAAGATACATAATTCTGTATATCGGTTTTTGATTTCCTTGAACGGTGTTGTCGTGGTTACTAGAAATAGAAATTTCTGTAAAATTGTTTCTAAATGCTACTCCTCCTACAGTTTTGGTCTGATTTCAATATAACTTGGCACACAAGTAGACTGCATTAAGATACATAAATAGTTTTACTGGTTTTTGATTTCCTTGAACGGTGTTGTCTTGGTTACTTAAAATAGAAATTTCTGTAAAATTGTTTCAAAATGCTACTCCTCCTACAGTTTTGGTCTGATTTCAATATAACTTGTCACACAAGTAGACTACACTAAGATCCATAATTGTGTGTATCGGTTTTTGATTTCCAGTAATGGTGTTGCCGTGGTTACTAAAAATAAAAATGTCTATAAAATTGTTTCAAAATGCTACTTCTCCTACAGTTTTGGTCTGATTTCAATATAACTTGGCACACAAGTAGACTACACTAGGAACATAAAGAGACTTTATCAAGGATCATTATTCTATGTATTGCTGTTGAAAAGTTTCAATTCCCAACTGCTTAAGTACTTTTCTCTTCCTTTGCCATAAGTACAAACCAGTAGAGCTTCAGTCTCGACAGAGACTTCTGGTTATGATCAAATATCAGAAGAAAGCTTTGCTTTATCATCACTTTTATATTATTGTCACATACATGTTTACTATATAAACGTTTGTACAAATTGTCTGGTAATAAAACCGTTCGTATATAAAGATATTGACGAAAAATCAATGTTGTGTCTGGGGTGTATGCAACATGTTGTACGCAGGGTGTATACCCCATATTTTTCTTAGGATTGTTACTGCGAAGTATCTGTGGAAATATTATTTACACAGGTTCATTAGCGACAGGTAGTGTTGATAAAAGACCTTAATACTCATGCCAAACCAAAAGGTAAAGTCCATAAACTTACTGAAGTGTAAAACAAATTAACTAAATTTAAAAAAATCAAAAGAATAAAAAAAATTAAAAACAAACTATCATATTCAATCATAATAGACGCTAGGAGCGATTGTTATCTGAATTAATGCATAGATGGCGCAATGGTCTAAATCTACGTAATCATAAATATAAAATCTCTCCAAAGGGGCCCTCCCCCCTCCCTGCATTGAGGACACTTTGTCCTTTCTTCGGATCATTTTAATCTAAATATTTCGCCTGTTAAAAATAATAGAAAAACTACATGAATGGTGTATTATGCATAAATCTCTTTTTTGTTTAAGCAAATCTTATGTTATCAATACATGTAATTTTAAGCATTTATGGCAGTGATGTAGAATCTTTTTTTAAGGGGGGGGGGATTCCTGAAAAAAAAACCTTGACATAAGTTGACTAGCTATAAAAAAAGGGGGGTTATCGTAACTCAAAACTCCTATTTCAGATGGGGTTGAAGGTCCCATCTTTTTTCATTAACAATTCTCCATTTTTTACTTAAACATACTACATAATCATTGTCTGACTATTCTGCTACAGAAAAAGGGGGAGGCAACTTGACTTTTGATGAACATTTTCTGTAGTGAAAAGTTGTGTCTGGAACAAAAAGGGGGTTATACTACGTGTTTGTATGATATATTTAATTAATTTTCCTTTCAATTTTTGCAATATGTGGACTCAATTGTCCTTATCTGAAAAGATTTCATATTTTACAGATCACAATAAACATGTAAAGCCAGCTATAAAAATGCACATTTGTGATAAGGAACGACAATTTTCTGAGGGCATGCACAATTGAAAAAAAAAAACTGTTATGGGTACAATTACAATTTTACGTTGACGTGTAATTAATATCAATTAATGTTCACCCCTCCTCTAATTTATTATTGTATATACACGTAGTCAAGTTACCCCCCCCCCACCCCAAATGACCTAAGACACAAACACCCCCCCCCCCCCCCCCCCCCCCCCCCCCCCATTCCTAAAAAAATATGTACTCAGTACAATACAATGCCTCAATTTAAAACAAATAGTTAACTGCCAAATGTGAGCTCCTGGGGGCAAAGTACACAGCATATAAATACTACATGAAGGAAAAAAATTTTGCGGTGTTTATGACATTACAAAAAGCTAAGTATTTTCAATAAAAGGGGTGTGGAGATAACAAACAGTATTCAATCTCAAAGTAAACATTACAAAACAAGAGCAGAGCAAACACGGACCCCCAAAACATCAGAGGTGGGATCAGGTGCCAAGGAGGAGTGAGCATCCCCTGCTGACCGGTCACACCCGCCGTGTGCTCATTGTCATGATCGTGAAATAACGGGAAAATCCGTCGTCAATTCAGTGTATAAATAATGGACTAACAATTGGTATGAAAAACGTCAGTCAGCATTTGACTCAATGATAAACTGTATTTGTTGACAAGGTCATTGGATCGACCATAGAACTTACGAAATGATGACTTTAAACAAGACTGCTGATATTCTTGTTTCGTCAATTTGCTTGTCAATAATTTACCTCGTTTTAGAAATTGTTCATACGTAGAGCATGCTCTTGCGTATCGAATCAACTGAGATATACATACACTCCGTATGCAGTATCATTTAATAAATAATGAAAAAGGTTAAACAGAAATTATGAGAAAATGTTAAATGTTCAAAATGATGCATGAGTGAAGCATTTATTAAGGAATGATCAGTGGCGGATTTAAGGGGGGGTGCAACCGGCGCGCCCCCCCCCCCCCTAAAATTGTCAAAATTAATGTAAATCACAGTTTCGTCTAGAAAATTTAAATATGTATACTTGGTAGACCCCATTTTTACCCTAAAAAATTTCTAGAATCCAGGAGCTTCCGGGGGCTTTGCCCCCTGCACCCCCATCAGAGCTTCGCCCTGGACCCACTGGGGCCTCAAAGCGGCCCCCAGACCCCCTGCCTACTTTTGGCGCCCCTCTAACTTCAATTCCTGGATCCGCGCCTAATGATCTGAATAAGGTGTCTTTAAATCGAAGAAATGAATTGTTGTTCATCACATTAAACAGTTAAACAAAGCACCCTGTACATTTACTTCCATGTGCATGCAACGCCAAAAGTGCGATGAACATGTATCATTTTTTTCCCTGTTAATCGAATTCATGAACCTGAAAGTTGTGCTATTACAAAACTGGTGAATAATTTAAAAAATAAATATAACTGTCACAAAAGTCAATTGTTAAGAAATTTTTTAATGATATTTCAGAAAATGAGAGTAAAGAGAGGGGTATACACCCCGCGTGCAACATGTTGCATACACCCCGGACACAACATTGATTTTTCGTCAATATCTTTATATACGAACTGTTTTATTTACAGACAATTTGTACAAAAGTTTATATAGTAAACATGCATTTAACAATAATATAAAAGCGATGATAAAGCAAAGCTTTCTTCTAATATTTGATCATAAACACAGTGTAACGCCAATCTTTCTCCGATCCTCGGAATTGTGTTGAGGTGTTTGAGAAAACTAAAGTCTACAGTGAATTCATAGATATCCATTTACTCCTTAGATAATGCTTCCTTCTGTAGGCACATGCTTTCTGGCGAAAAATATCCGTAAGTTGAGAAAATGGACAAAGAACCTACATTGACCCCTTTTCTCTCGCTTCGGAAGCATACACCCCGCGCACAACATAGTATACACCCCGCATGTTGGCATATACACGGTGTTGTTGTACCTGATGTGAAGGCATACTCAAAATAAATCTAAAATCTCTAACACCCTTTCACAGACACAAACTTGGTTTCAAATTCTTGTTGCTGATCTCTGCAGAGACAAACTTTCTGATTGGCTACCTTGAATACCCATAATGCTCCTTGAGAGAAGTCTAGTATATGGTAAAAATTCTAAGTCCACACTTATACTTGCTCATACCATACTGATCTTCACTTATAAGTGAGGTGTAAGTGAAATATTCACTGATATGTAGCTCATCTTTACTTATAAGTGAAGTATTAACGAAATCTGTTCCTCACTTATACTTACTTTGACTTATAGTACACTTGTAAGTAAATTTCAAAATTTATAAGTGACTTATAAATTGCTAATAAGTGGATTATAAAACACTTATAAGTTTCTATTAGTTTTTTCTGTAAGGGTTAGAATCATCCTCAGGTTTCTGATTTTCCTAGCCACAGTGTCCAGGTGAATGATGTGGCCCAAGGGCCTCTTTTTAACAAAAGTTACCCTTTGTTCTGGGGTGCAAGCCCATGTTAATGACGAAGTTGGAACAGATACTGAGAATGTTGAACTTTGGTTTCATTTTTTTTATACACAGGTTGAAGTTCTTGTTAATACATGTAGAAGAGATCTGGATTTGAGTCAGGGAGCAATTTCGTCTTCAATATTAAATAAGGGGGGGAAAGTAATACAGGAAGATATTCAAAAGAAATATCCAAATGGAATTAAATTTGCTGAAGTTGCAGTATCTCGGGTTGGTACATTGAATTGCAGACACATCTTCCATAGTGCTCTGTTTCTCTGGACCCCACACGGAAATTTCTCTCTAAAGGTAATAATTTCTTTCATTCCAAATATTTAACAATTCAATATGTTTGTTTTAGCACAGGGTGAAAGGGCTCACATGATACTTATTATCTTTTTATTTGAAAAATATAAGAATTTCATGAAAAAAATTATATTTTTATGCAAATTTCATGTGAATAATTGTGTATAATATTCACATATTTTTTTTGGTAACTTTTATGTGAATTTTTCTTTGTGGATATTTATGTGATATGCTCTTCATGTAGAATTCATATGAAAGTAATATCAAAATCACATGTTTATTGAAGTTTTCATATAAATTTAAAATATTTTGTTTTTCATCTCTTTCTCGTGTGGAGAAATCACATTCATACAAAAGAACTAACCACACTAACTCTAGATTCCTGCCTGCACAGATTATTAGATGTGGATGATTTTGAAATTGCTCATGTATTGAAAAACAAAAATGTTCATCCATTTTATTTTTTTTTAGGTTCTAAAACTGATGATTTGGAACTGTTTGGCAAAGGCTGATGAGCTAAGATGCAAAACTATAGCATTTCCATCACTAGGAACAGGAAACCTGGGGTATCCATACCAGCTTGTAGCAGAAACGATATACCACACAGTAGAGTGTTATGAGGAGTGCAACAAAGACACAAACATAACAGATGTTAAACTTGTTTTATTTGAGGACGTCTGTATCCAAGTAAGACTTCACTTTGATAAAACTTTGAGCTCCATTATTCAACGACTCAGAGAAATTGTTGCTTGAAGTTGGTAGAATTTTCTGATTGTTAATTATTCATGACATGATCATTACACCTGCACTTTCTAAAGAAAGTATGGATATATTCTTTTATTGTTGCTTGAATTTCTCTGTCTTCATTGAATTTTGTGCGTCATTTGAAATTTTGACAATATATCCAGATACATACAACTGAAGGTATTAAGCTGATTTGTCTTCCACTGTAGTAAAAGTGGAGGCCTTTGAGGTTGTCACCATCTCAGTAGTATCTAGTTAAATGTAGATTTATGTATTTTAATGATTTTTTTTGCCAGCAATTCAAGGCCACTGAACGTAGAAGAAAGCATTCTCAGTTATTTCAATCCAGGGAAGGTAATTCTTTATATTAAAGATATGTGTGCTGTGTTAAACAGTATTTTTTCACAGCTGAAACCAAACAAAAATTTCTGAAGTATGATAAGCTATCAAAAATGAAGCATTCTTGCAAATTGGACGAAATATTATTTGGTATTAACAAAGTACTGGTCGGGAAAAGAACACGATATTCTCATGCATATTTATAAAGAACTGCGTATATGCTGGATCTGCACATGTGCGCAGGAAAGCATCGCGAGAATCATCAGAGGCCTGTTCAGCAGAGCGAACGTTTGCGAGCGCTCGCCAAAATTACTATTGGAGGTATAAGGAATTTTGGCGAGCGTTCGCGAACGCTCGCTCTGCTGATTGAGGAAACTATTTTTTGTGATGTCTGTTCAGTGAGGAACCACCTGAACATGACTGACAAATTGACCAATCAGCTCAATGAGTTGCATTTAATGCATTTATGGGTTACTACATAAAATACTACATGTGTTTTTCGAAAAGGCTAGTTTTTTAAATCACTCTCGGAGAGACGTGATGCATTTTCCCAAGCATTAACATGCTTAATGCATTATGTACATTATTATCTACTAATCCCATGCTCACATTTGCATACATTGTCAAATGATTAGCAATGATAAAAATTAGATTTTCCCCACTCCATTGTACAGGTCCGTTTGTTTACAGTTTCCCCGTGCTGCACTGTTAGTGAAAAGACAATTTCATGTGACTATTTATTCCTCGGTACAAAAAGCAACCAACTCTAAGGTGTGCTCACGTATTGACAATGGTTACAATGTGTACAACTTCAAAACATACAGTATGCTACTCAATGCACTTTCTACGATCAATGCACATGAGAATTAATATACTAGAGACAATTTCAAGGGGAGACAGGACACATGTCACATGACTAAAAAGACATATCACGTCATAATTGGTGATGATATACATGTTAAACGTTGTTAAAATCAACAGTTCTTGTGTATTTTTTTTATTCTAAATTCTAAAATTGTTTTCTAAACATTTAATTTTAGAAATTATTATCAATAAATTTTTTAAAGATTTTGCCATCATTATGATATTGTGAAGTTGCCCAATCCACACATTTGTTTCTCTTTACCCTGCAGTCTGACGTCATAGACGTAGTGTTTGAATTCTCAGTGCAGTGAGATCATGCAAGTACACACACCTGTCATGATCGGTTTTATTTCATAATAAACAGGTCAGAGTCAATGTATCGTGATAAATTTCTGAAGCAGATTTTTTTTAATTAATATTTTTTCGTGTTTAGTAGCAGAGATTCTCTCTATTTAGATAATTCTGAATGTTCATATATTCGAGTGACGTCACAATTGATTTCCCGCACTCAGAAAATACAAACGCGAAGCGTTTTTATCATGCATACGTCTAATTCAACAATGTCCTGTGCGATATTGAGGTAAGCTTCACCTTGTGATATATATGCAGTAAATAATTATGATGAAGGACTGACATTCAATCGTAAATTTAGAAATATTTATTGACAGAATTTTTTTCAAATGAGGATTTTGTCGTTGAAGCTGCCTTGAAAAATGCAGATATTATCCCAAACAAATACTATATAAAACTAAAACAATTGCTTTCAGATAATTTAAACACTATGAATAATGTGAAGTATTTGAGTATATAGTGTTACCTTTCATATTTATCGCTTGTGCGTAAAAATTCGCATTATGGACTCCGTTATGGGCCCGTAAACATGAAGTATCTAAACTCCATACAAACTCTAAACAGGGCGGTATTTGTGGGGCGATATCTTTTAAATAAGTCAAGAAATCCCATGACAGGACCATTTTAAAATGTTAAGTACATATTAAATTAGAAATATAAAAAATACGAAAAAAATTCATTGACAGGAATTTTTTCAGCTAAAGGTCCTGTTCCTATTTAAAAAAAATGTGAAACTTAAGTCTTTTTTATAAATGCATAAACTTTAAATTTCTTAATGTAGTAATAACTTAGCAACAACTAATTCAACCAGTTACATGGCAAATTTACGAATATTGAGTTTAAAAACTGGAGTCTTATTTACTTGTGGAGACTTTATGAGCGGTATTTGTGAGCGCTTTTTAACAAGAAAAACTGAATTTGTTTGTTAATGTGAGCATGGGAATTCTCAATTAGTACCTATTCTTCCAATTTTTCTCAGACACGTTTCAAAAAATTGTAAATTGACTTTCCAGCCGTCATTTGAAATTGCATCCTAAATTTCCCTAACCCACGTGTTTGTAGTAAAAACGTAGTAGACCATCATGCTTTTCGGCTCATTCACGAGATTGGACCATTGTTTGCTGTGAGCATGCGAGACCACGTGATCATGAATATTTCAATAAGAGGTGGTTTAATATCCGACTCGGAGAGAAAATAATTTTAACAAAATAATATTTCATAACTTTTAAAAGGGATGGAGTAGAATTGTCTTATTTGCAGAAAGTATATAACTTATATAACTTATATAACTTGATGAGACACCACATATATTTATTTTTTAAAAATAAAACACTAATACGGAATATATATCTTTAAGTATACATATATAGAAAGTATACGGATGTCAACAAGTATTCATGTACCCAAAACTCAATTATTTATACCATATTCTGTCATTTTGAATATACCGTAGACTTAAATATGTTTACTGTTACTTGTTAAACATCTGCTACTTTTAGCATTCTTAGATTTGAAGTAGTAAAATTAGGTTAACTTTATTTAGTTCTTAAGTACGGGAAAAAGGTGGAAAGTGATTATGTCTTTATAGTTGATCTGGCACCAAAAAGCATGTCCAAAGGTATTTTATTACCCCACCTCTGTCAATTTTTCCATGAAATCCTGGCTTACGATTGGTTGAAGTCTGTCACGTGAAGGCGGTGGATTACTTATACCCGGTCAGTTGTAAATCTATACCCGGTCGATGAATTACGTCACAAACACAAACGTGACGTCATAATAAGCACAGTATAAGCTTGATGAAGCATTTAGCAGAGAAAACCATTTATAAACTACAGATAAAATGTAAATATTACATCAGTGGGGTAAATTCACTCGCCAGGTATGAAACTTACTAACCAGGTATCATCCCATACCCTGTCACTAAAAGACTATGTAACTAATAATTACTAGATCTTGACCCTAACTGGCTTAAGTGATGGTGTAAAACTGGTCTTGGTCCATTGTTTTTATTATAAAAAAAACAGATACAAAGTGTCTGACACATGTGCATCATAATACAGCTTGCATATTGCATTAAAATTGGTTATACCGTATAACTGGATTTTTCTATGGGGTGCTATTTTTTGCGAAATTCTGCGATCAAGTCTTTATCGCAAAAAATTCAATCGCAAAAAATATGTGAATAAAATCTGGAATTTTCAGTTTCGATCATCGAAGTTCTACTTTTACAGATACCGGAAGTATATGTAAATAATGCCATTGCACGTTTTCAATCGTATTTTACAGGTAATTTACTTGATATCAGCAACAATGATTGTTTTCCGAATAAATAAAACGAATTCCTAAAGATTCAATATTTATTTGTTCCTACATTATATTTCATGATTTATTTATATGAAACCCGAATGCATTCCGCGGCTTGATCGGGTCCTTCACCAGTGTTTACCAGATTTTTCTTAATCGGTATTCTGTCCTTGAGAAAAGAATTTCTTGTGTAATATTTGCCCTACTGGGATTATATAAACTCTTTATAATCATAAATGAAAGTTCATAGTCTATGGGAACTTACTGAAACGAACTTCTATTATATTAATTTCAAAGAATTATCGTCTTGGTTTCAATTCAAAATAATTGTGACTTTGTTTCTAATTTACCCTGTGAATAATAACCCATTAATTATTCAACACACGGACGACCCACAGGTGTAGTGTCATCTATGTAAACACCCAATTAACAGCTCAAGGCCTTCATTGTTTCCAGATAAGTCCAGACTGCGTCTATTTTACGCTTGATTGGCGTGTATGCACACGCAATCAAAACTTCAAGAGATAAAGAGTAAAATTCAATGAAATAGGTGTAACGGGACCCAGTTTTGGTTCGAGAGATAGAGAATTTCGAGAGATAGAAGTTCGAGAGATCATTAGTAAATTTGCTTTGTTATATTATAGAGGAAAAAAACGGGACCAGAGGTTCACTTCGAGAGATCGGAGTTCAAGCCATCGAGAGTCACCTGTATTTTAAATTGCTTTTGTTTGTTCAATAAAAAATAAAAATAGACTTTATTGTTGAAATGTCTAGTAATAAAATTCAATAAAAATAGACTTTATTGTCAAAGTGAAATCGCAAAAATTAAAATCGCAAAAAATGAATATACCTATTTCAGGATCAAATCGCAAAAATTTGCACCCGCATTAAAAACCAGTTATAGGGTATTATGAGGTAAGAAAAAAGTCTTAAATTCATATATGGTTTGTATTTTACAGAAAAACACCCCAGTGAATTTCTGACAAGCTCTTTTCAGTCTGTATTGGTCGATTTATTACCCTCAATGTCTGAGTGGAGATGGGGATGTTTACTAAAAATCGGCTTTACTGTGGGTAAGTTTCACAGAAATTATACTGCATGAAGTCTGTTAGTGTATGTGTCAGTCTGTCTGGAACAAAATACTGCAAAACCAACTACTTATATTTGCGTCATCTTTTATTCGTGATTCCTCAGTTTGAAATCAATCCGTAGCAATTAATATTCATGACAGAGGAAACATTTTAGGGGTGAATATCGCCAGAAAACTTAATGTGCAATATATTGCAATATTTGATGGCATATTGCGATAACTATTAATTGCAATATATTGCATTACTGTCAATTTCATGTTAAAGTTTGAAGTGAACTGGAAAATCGTGTATTTTATTCATTAAACTTAAACCTAAATACCATATCTGATCATTTCATGTCAGATATAATGTTTACTGTTTATATACTGTAGTTCCCTGCTGAGTCCTTTGTCTTAGTTTTTAGTGTTAGAGATCGACATTTTTCTCAAGTAAAAGACAGTCGTCGACAGATTCTTCCTTTCTTAAAAATAACTTTGTAAGAAATTTAGAAATTGTCATCATGTCATATCTAAATTTTTCTTTTATTTTTTAAATGTGGTATGCTTTCTCCAGCGTGAGAATCAGAATATTTAAGCATGACAAACCAAAACATTGTTCATACTTTTAACGTGTTTTTGTTTGCCATTTTCATAAAAAAAAAGTACGAAGCGATAAATTGTTTCGAGTACGTAAGTGTTCCAATAAAAAAAATATAAAACTGTTGTTGAATTAAAGGACAAGTGCACTTAAGCAATACTTAATGGGCCCTTTTTATGTGCCATTTCACTTTAGAATATATTAATTTATGAAATAGTTCTCTTTTGGCAATAGTTAGATATAAGTGGATATTTCTAATGAAAAAGCATGTTAATCATCACCTAAATCAGCATGGATTTGAAACAATTAAATATTTTTAAATGCCCATGGATATCCTGAATCCAGAAAAGTTGTAATGAACTGTCTGAGTTTCGTTTATGTAAATCAAGGGGAAGAGATATTTAAATTGAAAATTGAACAATCTGATGGTGGATCATAGACAGGGGCCTTTGCGGAATGTTACTTTTTGCGCCAAATCTGTTTTAAAAAATCGAATGAAGTTGTGTAGTTGCCTGTAGCCAAAATGATCAAACTAAGAAATTGGTACTCTTGCATTTGAAAAAAAATACAATAATAGTTTCATTGAATTTGAAATTAAAAATGAGTGTTTAGGTGGCTTTCAATACCTTTTCACTGTCTTACATGAATGTTGAAAATGTTTGACACTTCTATAAACTTTCTTTACCCTCCTGTGTTCTTAAAAACAAATACATACAAATGTTTCTAAGCGGCACAACTTTGACTAAATTATGCAAAACCTGCCGAAGTTTTTTTAATGAATACCTTTGAGGAATGTTTACCTGGGTAGAACTCATGTGACTATGAGTATTTTTAAATAATTTATTCCACACGTAAGTTCAACATGGGTCATACAGTAAATAGCTCTCACTTGCTGTAGGAAAACCATTGTACTTTTTGTACATTTTTAAAATTCTAAGTACCAGCCTAATTGTGTACAAATTTCCTACTTGCACACAAGTTTTATAAATGTATTGTATGTCTTTTGTCATTGGCACAAGTTTGTACAAAGTTACGCTCATAGTAAACAAAAGCTTTGAAATAAATGACTTTTCGATTTACTATAGAAAATCACAAAATGTTGGCTGACCCCTGCCACATTTTATGGTTTTGTTCTTTGTATATTTGTGAATTTCAGCGGTTGCATTTGTTGAATTGTACGGTTTAGATATCAATTAATGATTTGGGATGAACAATTTTGCTTAAGGTAATTATCCATACCAGGTGAAATAACGCTATATGACATTATTCTTCAGTTGTCAGTGACATTATTACGTCAAACTCGCCCTACGCTTATTCTATCAAAAATGCGTGACTTCTATTTCACTTACCGTGAAAAGAAAGGTACATTACTTTGCAAATAAAAGGCATAAAAAATATGATGTTCAGTTATTTCTGGAATGCGTGATCGAAAGAGAGTTTAAATTTCGGCATGTCAATTTACCCAAATGGACCCAAATGAACCCAAATGGCGACCCAAATGGACTCAAATGACGACCCAAATGGACCCAAATGGCGACCCAAATGGACTTCTGTAGACTTTATTTCAAAACTAGAATGCATCTAGACATTTAAAAAAAAATTATTTATTTTTGCATTTAATTATAAATATTGTTGAATATTCAGAATAAATAAAATAAATGCTGCTGAATGTGTTTTATGTTTATTACAAACATTCAAAATATTCTATAGAAAAATGTGTACAGTATTTTTTTCATTACATGGACACTGAAATAATGAATTCTAAATGAATTATTTTAAAATATAAGAGTTTACCAATCCGAAAGTTTCACATAGTTTTAATCTTTTTGAGTAAATCAGGTACGTAGCAATAGGGGGTGCCCCCCCCCCCCAATATTTTCCAGAGATAACTTTTTACTACTGAAAATGTCCATTGAAAGGCCGATTCCTCCCCTCCCCCCCCCCCCCCCCCCCCCCCCCCCCACACACACACACACTTTCAAAAACGATGCTACATCACTGTAAATAATTAATTTATTACTATTTTATCATAATTTAGTCCAATTGGGTCGCCAACTAAGTCCATTTGGGTCGTCATTTGGGTCCGTTTGGGTTCATTTCACCCTTTAAATTTAGATGATTCGTTAAACCAAAAGTACAACAAAGATGGCATGGGAAGATTGTCTCGAGTACAAGATAAATAAAAGACATCGACAATCAGGTCGTTTTTTAGCTGGGCTTATTGCTCAAAGAGCAATTGCCGGCTAATGTTATCCTGTTCAAGGCAGGAAGTCAACCCCATAGTCGCCATTTTAAAGTTATGAGTAAAAATATAGTTTTTACTCTCAACCGCTTTTGAGATAATACAAACGCTAAATAAAGCAACAAAAATAAAATAAAGGACAATAAAACCACAGGTAGTCAAAGAAGTATGCAAGCATCCTTAGTTATTGTAGATTCAAGTTTGTTCAAGTCATACCCTCTCCCTTTTAAGGATTGGTTGGGACCACTTTTGGGTTTAATCTTTTCAATAATATACTGATTTATGCTTTTTTCCTAGCTACATTGCTCAGGTGAGCAATGTCCCATGGGCCTCTTGTTTTATGTATAACTCTAATGGTGGTTGGACTTAAACCCACAAATCTCAATATGACAGTAACAAAGAAGGGAATACATGATTGTATAATATGATAAATAGGAATGCCTATGAGATCATAGTGGGTGATATAAAAAGGAATAAGGAAAAGGATAAAATTTCAATCAGACAAATTCAACTCTGTTTGTTAAGGCGAGTGCTTACAATGTTATAATTAGCTCACCTGAGCCGAAGGCTCAAGTGAGCTTTTCTGATCACACTTTGTCCGGCGTCCGTCTGTCTGTAAACTTTTCACATTTTCAACTTCTTCTCAAGAACTGCTGGGCCAATTTCAACCAAACTTGTCACAAAGCATCCTTGGGTGAAGGGGATTCAAGTTTGTTCAAATGAAGGGCCACACCCTCATTCAAGGGGAGATAATTGGGAATTAATGAAAATTTGGTGGTATGTTTTAAAATCTTCTTCTAAAGAACCACTGTGCCAGGAAAGATGAAACTTATGGGGAAACATCCTCAGGTAGTGTATATTCAAATTTGTTCAAATCTTGACCTCCGGGGGTAGGACGAGGCCACTGAATGGCCGACCAAAGTTTTACATAAAAATATACCGTAAATCTGGAAATTTTTACGTCGATTTTATTTTGCGAATTCGGGTCAAAATGGTGTTGATTAATTTTTTAAGTTTCAAAATTTTGCGAATTGCCACTGCTTTGTTTACATTTCCTTATTGGTAATTTATTTTTATGCCCCCCTTCGAAGAAGGGAGGGCATATTGCTTTGCTCCTGTCTGTCGGTCGGTCGGTCTGTCGGTCCATTTAGTTTCCGTTCATTTTCTTCACAACCGTTGCACATACTGAAATGAAATTTGGTATACAGGTTTATCAGGTAAATATCTAGGTCAAGTTCTGTTTTGGGTACAATCACACCATTTTTGACAGAGTTATGCCCCTTGGACTTAGAAAAATTCCACTTATTTGCAGTTTCCGTTCATTTTCTTCACAGGGGTTGCACAAATTGAAATGAAATTTAGTATACAGATTTATAAGCTGAATATCTAGGTCAAGTTCTGTTTTGGGTTTGATCACACCATTTTTGACAGAGTTGTGCCCCTTGGACTTAGAAAAATTCCACTTATTTGCAGTTTCCGTTCATTTTCTTTGCAGAGGTTGCACATATTGAAATGAAATTTAGTATACAGATATATCAGCTGAATATCTAGGTCAAGTTCTGTTTTGTGTTCGATCGCACCTTTTTTGTCAGAGTTATGCCCCTTGGACTTGGAAAAATTCCACTTATTTGCAGTTTCCATTCATATTCTTTGCAGAGGTTGCACATAATGAAATAAATTTAGTATACAGATTTTTCAGCTGAATATCTAGGTCAAGTTCTGTTTTGGGTTCGATCGCACCTTTTTTGTCAGAGTTATGCCCTTTTGGACTTGGAAAAATTCCACTTATTTGCAGTTTCCATTCATATTCTTTGCAGAGGTTGCACATAATGAAATAAATTTAGTAATCAGATTTTTCAGCTGAATATCTTAGTCAAGTTCTGTTTTGGGTACGATTCAACATTTTAGACAGAGTTATGCCCTTTTGGACTTAGGAAAAATCCAATTTGGGGTGAGGGGGGGCACAAGTGTTTTACAAACATCTCTTGTTAAGAAAAATATTTTTGCGTATGCAATGAACTCGCAAATTTGGTAAAAACTTATCTACAGCAAAAATTTCCAGATTTACGGTATAGGAAAATTCTTTAAAAATCGTCTTCTCAAGAATAGCGAAGCCAAAATTGATCATATTTATATGGAAGCATTCTCAGGTAGTGTAGATCTG